ATTTCTACCAATCAATAGAGTATAAACTCCAATTTAAAACGTGGGGAAGTATATTAAAATATATAAAGTATATACAACTAGCAAGATTAGAGTGAAAAAATTCAACTTTGCTAATTAATAGAGTAATGAGTATTAAAATAAGACTCTGTTTATAGAATGTGATATGCTTTAGATCTAAAATGGCCCCCAAAAGAATCTCATGTGCTCAGAGATCAGGCTTTTGGAAAGTGATTGCATGATGGTGGTACTATACTCATCAATGGATTAATCTATTGATGAGTTCATAGTTGAATATGCTGTTCAGAGGGGGGGTGTGCTTGGAAGAGGCATGAAAGTGTAAATATAACTAAAGAGCACTAAGTACAGATTCATTATTATTTTAGCACATTTATATCACGGAATACTGTCCAGGCCAAAATAAAAAAAAACATGCATTAGCAAAATGCTTAATAATAAAAGGAAATATTAAAAATCTTCAAGTGGAAAAAAATTCAAAAGATACATTATTAGCCCAATGATTTTGAGTTTGCACAGCATACTTAATTTTCCTTGAACTTCTATTTCATTATCTTTTTTGCATTTTTAAAATTTTTATTGTAATGTAACACAAGTAGGAATTAGTAAAAAATTTAAAAATACTCTTCTTACTTCTATGAAAAAATAAAACAAAATCTCATGATAAAATAGAGAATAACAATGATTAATATACTGTGTATCATGATCTGAGAAGAATGGCTACAATGTTACTGAGGGAACAATTCATAGAAAAAAAAAAGACTCCTTAAAAAGAGAAACCAACAAGTAAAAGGACAAAACTTTCTTTTCAATGAACAGAGAAACTAGTAGTGTAAATAAAACAAATTAGCATGTGTCTTATAATAGTTATGGAACATTATAGATGATTCGGGGAATTATTTGAACTTCTTCCTACTTTCAGTTTATCTTTCTGGCCATTATAGAAATTCAATTTAAAAGTACATCGAGATACCATCTTACTCCACAAAGCATGGCTATCATCAAAACAATCAAATATAGTAATAAAAAATGCTGGTGAGAATGTGGGGAAAAAGGAACTCTTCCATATTATTGGTGGGAATGTAAATTAGCACAACCATTATGGAAATCAGTGTGGAGATTCCTCAAAAACTTAAAAATAGGAATTTAATTCAGTCCAGCTATCCTTCTTCTAGATATCCTCCTAAAAGTACTGAAGTCATCACATTACTGGGATACATGAAATCCATGTTTATAGCAGCACAATTAATAATAGCTAGATCTTGGAAACAGTGTATGGGTTCATCAATAGATGAATGAATAAAGAAAACATTTATAAACAATGGATTACTACTCTGCCATAAATAAAGATAAACTGAGGCAATCACAGCAAATGGATGCAACTTGAGAACATAATGTTAAGTGAAATATTTCATTATCTTTGAAATAAGAAAGTTGGAGGGAATAATGACCAAGATTTCATTCCAATCTCCAATTCCAAGCACAATGTATTGATTTTAACCTGGGAAGTTTCCCTCACTGTTAATAGCTTCCAGCATTTTCAGCTTGCAATCATATTTTTGATTACTCCACCAATAGATGCCCCTAAATCTAAGGACCAGTCTGAACAGGTAGGTATAGCCAGCTCCTTTGAACTATACTGTGAAGACAAATTTAAGTTTCTTTTCAAAATATTTGGTAGCATCTCACAAATGCTGCTAACACTGTTACTTAAGTTTAGCTGTTATCCAATCACAGCACCACACAAATAGCTTGAGTTTATATCAATCAGGGGTCTCCAGAAATACTGAACCAATAGGACATAGATAAGTGGATAGATAGGTAAACAGATGTAGACAGGAAGGAATTGGCTTATGTGTGTATCGGCTGACAAGTTCAAAATGTGTTGAGCATGCCAGCAGGCTGGGAAAAACAGTAAGAGCTTCTGTTTCAGTCTTGAGGCAAAATTTCTTCCTTTACCAGGAAACCTATGCTTGCTCCTAAAGACTGCAACTGATTAGATGAGACCTGCACACAGTATGTATAGTAATCTCCTTTTCTTAAAATCAGCTAATTTAAAAAGGCAACATCTAGATGAGTGTTTGATTAAATAACCAGGTGTCATAGTTCAGCCAAATGAACAATATGAGTGCTGATACCAGGCTGCAAGCAGTCCTAAAATAAAATAAAATAAAAATTTTCCTCAGAGTTCCAAGTAAAGAATAAAAATGACTGAAGAGGAGTAGAAAAGGAAGCAATTTTGAAAATTAGGCAACTATCAAGGAAGGAAAATTTAGTCATAACGGTATGATGGAACATGGGACTGAAGGTTTAGGAGGGACAGACTTGTACTTTAGAAAACCTGAAGCAGGTTCTCCCTGTGCCAAGGGAATGGAGATGCACCACGCAGAAAGACGGGAACTGGAGGAGGGAAAGGAAAGATAAACGGCCTACTGGAATTGTGTTTGATGTCTAGAATAATAACAATCTGGCCCAGAGAACTCTCTCCTATAGTCTTGATCTCCGTCTTGTAGGTTGCCAATGTGTACCCCTAGGCTAAAGTAATACACACTGACCTCATTCCTGAGAAGATTTAGAGCTTCTTTCAAAATACACTCACCAAGGCTGGGAGAGTAGCTCAGTGGTGGAGCACTTGCCCAACATGCACATATCCCTGAGTCTGAACCCCAGCACTAGAAAAATAAATAAATAAAACCTCTTCAATTTAATGAGAAAGATAATTATTTACTTTCCATAATCACTATTTATGTTTCAGACAAACTGACAAATAGTCATTTGGGTTTTGAATCCTAGAGACTGATAAAGAATATGCTTTCTCTCTTCTATATTTTTAGTATTAAATAATTTAGCATAACCTTGGCTTAATATCAAATATATTCCCTTCATCTATATCTAATAATATGCCAGTAGAATACCTCTGTTTATCTGCATAACCAGCCTTTCAAACCCAGTTATTGAATACCTACCATTTCACTAGACAGGGAAAAAACTTAAAATCTCAGAATAAATCCTGCTTTCTCCTCCTGTGTACTCTACTTCATATATATAATCAGACTTCCTATCCACTACCAAAATGATTGATTATCGATGGGCATGTTTTTTCTTTTATAATAAACTCCTAAATCTCCCCCTTCTAAATCTTCCTACTTTTTTACACTAGGAAACTCTTCAAAAAGCATAGCTCATACATTTCACTTGCTACCTGAAAACTTTTCACCATTCCTTTTTCCTACAGAAAAAAATCCACATTCCTTAGGAAATTCAAAGGATTTTCCTTTCTAGACCTACCTCCCATCTTTCCATTTAATGCATACTCTAGTTTGAATAAATTCTGTGATTTTCTCCTGAAATGACTTTGCTGAAGCTGTTTCCTACCAGAATGGCTTTTCAATAATCCTCCATCCCATATACAAGTTAGTCATTTTTCCAATACAAATGGAAGAAACTCAGCTAAGTCTATCCTAACCAAAGGAAGCAAAATTAGTGGGTTTTGTAATGGAAAATTTCAGAAGTACTGAACAGCTTCAGGTCTTGGCAGGAATGGACCTAGGTTCTCAATTTCCCTGATTAAGAATCACTTTCCATTTCTCACATTTGATTTCTCTAGGTGAGCTTTACTTTTAGGCACATTTTCCATATGTAAAGGCTGATCAGTTAAATTATTAGATAAGGTGACAACAAAGAGAGCAGTGTAAATATATAAACAGATAAATATTTGTAAGCAGAGTCTTCCCTCTGCTGTGTCTGTAGTCATTTCCCAGGACCTTGAGACTCTTTTCCACTCTCTTCTACCCCAATAATCTACTCCAGAGCTTTGCCTCAATGGAGGCATCTCAAGTCCATACATTTTCTCTCACCTTTCATGGCTTCGTTACATTTATATACCTGATTTCTTGAACCAGTGTGCTTATTTTAGAAAGTCATACTTTAAGAAGAGTGTGCATAATTTAAAATGCAGGTTAGAACAATGAAAATGATCTGAATTCTTAGAAACACGACTTACCAAGACAATTGCTGTTATTTATTTCTGTAGTGTGCTTTTTTCTAATTGAACTGATGAGAGGTTAGTCTGCTTTGGAAAAATCTCATGCTGTAGTTTGGTTACTTTGCCACTTGGAGAAAGACATTTGTAACAATCATGACCTTACTAAGCAAACAAAAAAATCATAAGCCCTAGGTATATTTCACTGAGATCTTAGAGAGTTAGTAGTTGATACTTGAAGTAAGTAAATGTCTTCCCATGGCCAGTCAATAAAAGCTGAATGTCAAAAGACCCTAGAATTGACCATTTTTTCACTATTTCTTATCTGTCTTTAAATTTTTAGATTGGAGCCTAATTCTACCTCAGTAGTTCATCCTTAATATCTCTCCTGCTCAGCACCAGTGGCCCTCTGTTGCTTATCTCTTCATTGTTGGATTCTGTCTTCCCAACCACTTGTTTGCTGCCTGGCCAGTGCAAGATAATCAAAGGAGAAAGATTTATTTTGCCTTCTTGTGAAGGCATACAATGTTTAACATGGCAAATCTCTTAAAGTTTTCCTAATCTCTTTATTTTATGGTTGATAAAATTAAGCTTGGAGAGGGTAAGAAATTTGTCCATCAACAATTGGCTACCTAGAGGCAGAGCAAAGAATAAGACAATCCATGATGAGAAAGAAACAAAATTACACATAGCACCTGTTGAAAGTATCCATAACTGATAGGAAAGCAAACTGAAATGGTGAAGATATCACACTGATGACAGAAAACCAACCCCAGCAACACTGTGGTTGTCATTCAGTTGCCCAACCTTACCTGTTTCTACTCTCTTTCCAGGCTCTTTGGAAAGCTTATGCTTTTAGCTTCACCTGGGTGAGGCTTTGTGAATGATTTTTCCCATTGAGCTGGGAGTAGAAGCAATTGTAGCCCATTGCCAAGGCCAGTGACTAAGCACTTTATTCCTAGTGGGTTCCCATTGAATTAGAAGGGACTGATAGCCCACTAACCTGAGTCCCTAAGGACTCTGAAGCAATGGAGAGTCTCAGCTGGCCCATGTTGGATCTGTAGAGTAAAAGGAAACGTCTTAGTTGTTTTAAACAGGTATTTAGGGAATGTCCATTAATTGCATTATAATTTAGCCTACACTGGCCAGTACAATCCTTATGTGTTACATAGTTATATTACTTTATTTCTTGTGTGGTATCTATTTTTAATCCCCTTCTAATCTGAAAAGAATGAAAGTAGGGACACTAAAAGTAGAGGATTTGAGTCAAAGCAACATTCTGAATCACTGGCTTCCTATTCTGGACAAATTTTTCATCCATCAGTAAACTCAACTCTTCAATTTCTCTCTGTTCATCTACTTAAATTTTAGAGGTAGAATTGTATTTAATTCCAGTTGCACATAAATTATTTACATTAGCATGTATTAAGTATTAATACTAATGGTTTGTGGTAACCAAAATTTCTTTAGAAAACCTTTCTTCAGTGAAGTATATTTTTATACAAAAGAATACAATTTGAATGAGATTTTACAGATATTTTATCAAATTAACAGAGATAAACTGACAAAGAGATATGGAAGAAAGGAGAATTTCTTGATCAGAAAAGATTGATACAGAAGATTCCCAGTTAATTAAGATGGGTTGAAGTGATCAACTTAATAATGAAACAATGATTGTGCAGTTGGCTTTCAGATATTATTAGTTGAATTACCTTGCAAGTGACTACCAAATCTGTTTCAATTTACTCATTGCTTTGCGCCACAGAATTTTATATTGAGTAGTCTTACTTCTTTTAATATGATATTTTCCTATCAATAGAAAGCATGGTATCTCTATATAATTGGAGGTGTGGTACCTCTTAAAAGCATCCTCATCACCTTATTCACAGAATCCAGCACTGTGCAACTTTTGGCTCTTCCTCAAAGAAAAAAAATGACTAAAATAAGCAGACATTTTGGACTGATTCAGGACACAGACGCAATCACAAGAGGGCATCCAAAGACACAAAATAAAGCCTCCAGAGGTACTTCAGAAAGTTTAAGGATGGCATAAAAGTATTCAAAATGGGGGGGGGGTCTTCTGAGGGGGCTTTAATGGCAATGCGTCTGTTACTGTAATAATTTTAAAAATTTAAATATTAGTCATATTTTTCTATCACACTTCATATCTTTACATATTAGCTATTTCCAAACTGAATTGTATTAGATTGGTTACTTCCCAGCCTTGTCAAATTTTTATTTATTTAGAGGTAAGGATAATGTTTATCATGATTTAAAATGGACTCTGAGCTAAAATGACTAAGTGACCAATTAATGTTACATTGCATGAAGTATTTTCTTCAACAGAATAAAATTTCCTTAGAATAAAACTGTTTTCCTATTTATCCTAAAGATACAGATAGAAAAAGCGAAGCAGTATGGATATTTAGGGATATTTAAATTAATCACACTCTGATGAAAGTGATCAAGAGAAACAACGTCTACAAAACCTAGGGAGATCACATGCCCTTAAGGAAAATTTAACTTTTTCATAAGTTCCTAAGTTAAATGAAATTCTTCCTCCATTGATTTAACCTCTTTATGACACATATTCATCTATATTTCTCTCCAGACCACTGGGGGAGGTAACTATTTAATTTATTTACATAACATCTTATGATACTGCCACACCCTTCAGAAGATGGAACTACAGTGGTACTTCGACTCTGTGATGAAATACCTGGCATAAGTCAATTCAGGAACAAAGATTTATTTAAGTCTATGGTTTCAGGAGTTTCAATTCATGGTTTGTTTGCTCCATTACTTAAACCCTGAAGCAAGGCAGAATATCTTGATGCAAAGACATAATGGAGGAAAACTTCTCACCTCATGGTGGACAAAAAGTACAGTGTACGAGGGCCAGAGAGGAAGGGGCCAGGGACCAGTACAGTCCCCAAGAGCCAAACCCATGCCCCTATTCTATGCTCCACTCTTTTCAACTAGAGCCCAACTAATTTTCACTTCCCCCCAGTAATGCTGTTAAATTATTCCTCTGATAAAATTAGGGCTTTCATGATCTAATCACATTTCCACATCCCATCATATACTAAGCCTTTCATACAATGAGGCTTTAGTGAATCATCATATATTCAGGCCATAATAGTAAGGATCTCCACTTTACTTGGTTGTACTTCAAATTTTTGCTTTTGGATATTTTGCTTCTGCAATTGAAGAAGTACAAATATACTATCATCTTTTTCTTCTCTTTATTGTATCTATTTCTTCACAAATGACAATAGACTGGTACTCTTTTCCTAAAGTTTACTCACTTAACTCAGTTTCTATCAACTATGCCTGATCATTTTTATTCAACCAACACAATAGCTTTTCTTATTTCATCTATATTGCCATTCAGTGCTTGCAAACATACAAATAATACACCATTTCCCAAATAAAATATTGTTCTGGAAAAGTTAAATATATTTGGGGTATGTGGGGGGGTTATATGATTTTGAAAAGTTTGGACAATATTGGGCGAAAGACTTTTTTTTTTTAACTATCTTTACTGTAGGTTTTTTCCAAGTCTCTAATGTGCACTGTGAAACTCATAAAGGGGATATAAACCATATAATTCTATATACTCTGCAACCATGTTTCAGTTTCAATAGTTTACTATCATAGCATCATTTCATGTAGAAAACAAATCCTAACTTCAGCAACAGTTAGTTTAGAATTACCAAGTAACACTCCCTAACGTAGCTTCATTAATGACCTGACAGTATTCTTGCTATTATTATTTTTATTTATACTATTCTTTATACTAAAATATGCATTATAACATGAAAACTTATTTAAAATGACATAAAAATTAAATAAAAACAGACATCAGAGTAAAAAAATGAGACAAATGCTAAAATAAAGCCATATATTCTAGAAATATAGTCTATATTCTAGAAAAATCTAATCTTATGCAAAGACTAAAGGGAATCAAGATTGCCTCTGAACTTACTTATAGTCAAATCAAAAAGGGACAAGCAGTTCTAAGAGTTATAATGGATGTCCACAAGATCAAAATATAGCAGATGCTTTGGTGAAGCATAACATTTCTGGCTTCATAGAGGAAACAATGTGTGATTTTTGCATAATGGTTCCCAACCCCATCTATAACTTAAAAATCACCTGGGGAGGGGTGTAAAATACAGTTTCCAAGTCCCAATCACAAAGCTACTAAAGTGATATTTTCAACATAATCCCTAGGTGATTCTCTAACCAACCTATAAGACCAGAAACTAGGAACTCCTATTTTGATGGGCAAGATCCTTAAAAATGTCCACCCTAAAATTATGTGAGCAGCTACCTTAGTTCAACAATTCACTTTCTCAAGGAAACACAAACTGAGTCAGTTACTTGAAGATATTCCATTAATGCATTTTCAATTGTTCCACTATTCAACAGCAGAGGAATTTCTTATAAATAAAATTATATGGAATTTCCACTCCTCTGAAACCCTGCGATTTCATTATTCAATTGGAGTATTCAATAAAGTCAGTGAGTATTTACTTAGAAAACACTCAGCTACAATAAAACACAACTTAGAAGCAAAAACTTTCATTTGTAAGCATACTCTCTTCTCTCTAACTCACAACCACCAACATTAATTGGTGACAGAATTCACCACCTCTGAAAGCAATATAAACAAACACAGATGTCAAACAAGAAGCAAATTGATAGGATACACAAAATTATCTCAGTTGCCTTACAAGGTGACACTGAATATATTAAACAAAAGTTGGAAAGAAAACTTAATTTACAAATCTCACAAGAATCTTGGCTTCATAGTATAACAGTCATTAGACTATGAATTTTCCCTCAACAAAGAGACAAAGGAGAGTAATTCTAGAAATGTTCACACTCTAATACAAAACAATAAACAGATCAGAAGTTATCTAATCAATGTTGGAAGAAATGTCAAAATAAAAGCACAAATTTGCATTTTCTCTAGGCTGCTTACAATTGCTTAGTTTTGAAAGAGGAGAAACAGAATTTTTTAAGGATATATCCAACAAACAGGTGTAAGATAAGGACACCCTTAAAGAATGGCAGGAAGTCTGTAGCTTGGGAACAGGAAGGTTCATCTTCACAAACTGCTTCTGTGAGTAAAAATGTTAAGAACCTCAAAGATACTGTTTTTCTTAGTTACTCAAATTCAAGAAGAAGAAGGAAAGAAAAGCCAGCAGTAGAGAAAAGGACAGGGCAATAACGTGTAGCTTGATAAAGGAAAAAACTTTATAACAATTAGACATAAGATTGAGTTTCCTAACACTAGACAAGCTCAGAAAGGAGACAGTGGCCCATTTTTGACTGTGACATTGTGCAGCAGCAGTTCTCAAAATCCGAAGTGCACCAGAATCACTGAGAAGGCTTGCAAAAACATTTTGCTAAGCCATGTCTCCAGAATTTCTGATTCAGTAAGTCAGGGGTGAGGACCTACACATAGAATTTATGTTCTAAGTGTAATTTATGTTCTAGGTGGTGCTAATTCTTTTGGTCTTGGGCCATACTTTAAGAACCTTAGTTGTAAATCCACACGGCTACAGGATCTAGACAAGATTACTAAACTGCTCTAGGATATGTAAGTGAAATATAAATCTGAAATCAAAATCTTTATGTGAAATCACTTGAATTTTCAGTATATATCACTCTTTTAAAGTGTTCAACACTTAATGAGGTGAACAACGCATGTCCATTGACCTGATTAGTTCTTGTTACTAAGTTTGAAGTCTTTGTGCTATATTCCTGCATTAGGTAGAGAATTTTGTCTCAAAACTTACAGATTTCGAATGTCCCTCTAAAGATAAAGGTTGAATTCAAAGACTCAAGCTGTCAAAAATAATAAGTGTAACAAGGAGACAAACAGTAAAAAATATAACAGTATCTTCCTTTTTCAGTTTACTAAGTACTTTTATATATCATCTCATTTTATTGTTGAGTGCATAATGAGGCGAAGGTTTTAGTATTGTCTATGGTTTCCAATAAAAACCCAAGACTCAGAGAGGCTGAATGTTTAAAGCATTAAGACTCTATTGTGAAAACTTGTACTCTTTTTCTGTAGCAATGGCTTTATACTTTTAAAAGTTATTTAAAGCCATATCTAAAATATCTGCTTATAACATTTGGGAAAATAACACTTTCACAATACTAACAAATGTAGATATGAGTTGGAATCCAATTGACCCAAGAGCAGATGGGTCAATCAACAAGGCAACCATCATTAAGAAGAAGTAATTATGGAGTAGTACTAAGTTCAAAGTACTATGCTTATTAAAAT